ATAGGTTTCTAACTTTTTCCTCACAGCTCTTTCTTGTTTTCTAATGTTTTTACAGCTAATGTTTTAAAATTTCACTTTGTAGTCATAGTTTCACCAATCAATCTCGAATATTAGATTTAAAACAGTTGTGTGATCAGGTTGATACGGTTTATAAAAACCGCATATATAATTGATTATATGGCAATAAAGTTAGAAAAATCCCATTTCATGTTTCCACATGTATCTAGTTAGAACCATAAATTATCAACTACGATAGAGATTGGTCGTGTTAAAAACGTATCACCATTGAAATATATTTTTATATTTTATGGAGTACAACGGTTGTTACATGTGGAAAATTCAAAATTGAAACTCTCTATTGAAGTCAATACCACGAGAGACGTTAAATAGGATTCAAAATATTCCACCGGTTAATCAAAATACCATGAAAGACACATAGATGTTGCTACATAAATATGAAATGAAAAAGAAATTATAGAAATCAAACTCTGTCAACCTTTCTTTGTACTTTATAATATCATGATCTCATATACTACTTGGAAACCACTTTCTTATTTTGTAATCACTCGACGACCATCAACATTGTAGTATTTTGTTTTTCTTTATTTTTATATAAAAATGAAAAGTAAATAAATGTGAATATGGAGAGAGAGGTATGAATGGAGATAATAATTAATACTCTCTCTCCGTATCATATTAAATAATTTTTAGAGTGATTTTTTGTTTTAAATTAGATGATGTTTTAAGTTTTTAAAGTAAAATTAATTATGTTTTTGTTGTTTTGACTCTTTAAATTCTGCAAATTATTTTTCTATTGGTTAAATTGTATTGGAATTGGTGGTTTTATGTTAAAAATAAATAGTTAAATAGTTTTTTAATTTATGTGTAGAAACCTAAAAAATTATTTAAAATAATACACAGGGAGTAATGAATATTCATTCACGTCAGATTTTCAAAGTCAGGACACGGATTTCACAGTGTGGGAATTATGACAGTTACAGTAGAAGAAACGAGAAGGTCAACTAACCCGTAGGGGCATTTTCGTCATTTCGCTCTGAATTTAAACCCAAATTTATGCGACGGTAACGGGAAAGATATCAAGGACAAGGAGGCCGTGTCGCCGTGATCTCGGTGTGTGTAAGAGAAGAGGAGCCGTTTAAACTGCGAGTGGGACCCACGCGCCTTAGGGTCGTTGGGCAACTATGGCGGGGAAGTCCCTTAGTAGTTTACCATATTGACTTTCTGGAAACATGGACCGGACCGGACCAAACCGTCGCATGCCAGGTTTGTCGGAAGAAAAATTAATTATTGTTTTTTTTTTCTGTTAAAGAGGAAAATGATGGTTTACTTACGAATATAACATAATGTTTGTATTAATATATTGGAAAATTGAACAAACTAGTTGGAAAAAGAAGCTAAGGGCGATCACACCCGGGGCCGTGCGAACCGTGTTACCAAAAAGGCAACTGCCTTAGGCCCCAATTAATTAGAAAAATTTTAGGGCCCATTTTAAAGATTTTTAATACTTAAATAGATGAAAAATCTCTACTTCACTTTTATTTAGGCTAAATTTTAGGACTCCATTTTAAAAGTTGTTTCATCTTACTTTATAATATAAGTTGTTTTTCGTTTTATCTTTTGTTTAATTTTTTTTATTCAAAATATTTTGTCGCATAATTTCTTAACCCATTTAATTTTTTTTTTATGTGTTACTAAATTAGTTTCTACCTTTACATTTAATCTACTCACATTAGTAAAAATGATGAAGATCTGCACAATCTTATAAATACTAGTATTATAATATGAACTATTTATGACTGATATATAATAAACACTTATTATAAAAAATATTATATACATTTTATCCACTATTTTGAATACTATTTTATAAAAAAATTATATACTATGTTTTTAAATTTAAATTAATTTTTATTATCAAATTCTGCCTTGGGCCTCCAAATAGCTAGGCACGGCCCTGATCACACCTACACCGAAGCGACGGAGCTTTGGTTTTCGACACGATAAGAACTTTTGGTGTTATACTTTGTTTTAGAATAGCTCTGTTTTGTTCTCTTTCAATGTTAAAACAAAAGATGCATTCATTGTAAAAAATCAAAAAATAGTGGATTTTTTAAAAAAAATATGAAAACGATACACTTTTTTTGTTAGTTCGTAGAAATATAGGAAACGAGTTAACTTAACTTGTT